TCACTGTCCATGGAATTGTAACTGCACTGTAGGCGGCATGTCGTATGTTTTGGCTGTTGCTAAAAAGATGTTACGATTGAAAGGAGTAAAGGTCTTGTCCACTGTCCATGATGTTGTAAAAGCACTGTCTAGATGTGGGTGTACCATAGTGCTAAAATCCTCGTTCACCAAATGACTTGTGATTGAAGGGTATTTTGATGTTTTTAACTAATTTTGGCTGAAGTCCGTGATTTTTGCGAATTGGAAGGCCGGTTTTCTTTTTTATAAGTATGTTATGCGTTAAACATATTGAACCATTGGCCGGTTTTCTTCTTTATAAGTATGTTATGCACATTTTTGACATTTCACCTCGCTGTGTGAGGTCAGTTAAGACCAATAAATGGGCAAACTTTATTCAGAGAGTTGAGCTATTTGGTTTAGCAACAGCCAAAACATTCAGTTCAAAGTTCACGTAGCCCCTATATAACTCACTGTGTCCCGGCCGGTTCAAAGTTCAAAACCCTCCCTCCCTTTTAGTGTTAATTAGGGTAGAAGATCACTTATAATAAAAACAAAAATTAAACATATCGAGTCGCTTAAGTACCATCACAGTGTTTTGCATTAAAAAAAAATAAATAAATAAATAAACCTTGTTGAGGTTGTGATATTCGGTAATAGAAAGTAACATTGATAAGATATTCAAATTACTTATGTCCTGTAACAACATTCCAATGTATTATTCTTTGGAGATCGTAAGTAACATGACAATGACCGTAACGATAATGATGATGTTGTCAATAATTGTGATACATCTCATTGTTTATTTGTTTTCTAACTGCTATGAGTATATTTAACTTTCTTATTTGACTGAACGAAAACGTTAACTTTGTTTTATATTAAGTTCTTTGTTAACTTTGGGATCTATTTAAGTTCTTCTGTAACAACTTTTTGCACAGCTCCATTCTCTAAACAAATTTTTTTATAGACGCCTCTCACGCATGAGGCGTCATCTTCTCCCTATGTAATCAAAATGATAAGAATTCTGTTTGTTTTTCAAATTTTCAAATAGGTAACAAGGGCAGTCCTCTTGAAGCAAAGGAAAACTGCTTTACTTCCATGGTTAGTCTTAATTTCGACCATGATGGCTGATGAGTCGATTTCATATTTTATATTTGACCCTATTCTTAGTATATTTAAGTAATTATTTTGGTGAAATTTTGATATTTTGAATTATATTTACAATGTAGGACATTCAACTTCATCTTGAGCAAAAAGTGATCAAACAGACGAATTTGAAGTAATTCCAAATGGAAGATGTTCGTGTATCTCTCAACTTGTTCGTATCAAAGTTTTAGATTTTTCTATAAAGCGGTTTATTTATGGCGATGAAATAAAGGATCAGCGCACAATGATGTTAGAGTGATGTTTGGGGCATAATTGGGCTTTTTGGCGTCCATGATGATGTCTTTTGGGTTTGAGGCCTTCTGAAATTATGTTTGGGACATCTCAAACTTATTTTCTAGTCGTTTTGGGCCTATTTTGGAGCCTTAAGATTCATAAACGTGGCTTATTTGTGGCTGGGTAGATTTCCTATATTTAAGTAGGATTAAGTTTCCCAGTTTCTCTAAAGTTATTATGTTTCCTAGTTTTTAAAAGACATTTTCTAGTAAGGATTTTAATTGTGTAGTAGTATAAATAAGGCTTTTTAACCATTAGGGTTTTGGGGAGAGGAGAACGCATAAATTTTGGAGAACTTTGCTAGGCTTTGAGGATTTGTATTCTTCTTTCAATGTGTTTTCTATCCTTGTTTTTAATAATATTTTGTTTTATAATTATTCGTAACTAATTTTCTTAGGCCACGAGCCTTAGCAAGAATATGCAGTTTCTTTTCAATTTACTTATGATTCTATGCATGCAGGTTTGAATTATTAATCACTGTATTTAAACTATCTACATGTCTTAATGCTTGATCATCATTAGGATATTTAGAAAAGTAATTTGATGCAATTTTGGTCGAAGGTGGGTCCCTAAAATTGACGAAGGCTTCTTGTGGTTAATATGTGCAAGTTCACTTAGAATAAATACCACGTCTTAAGGGTTGCATTTCAGAGGGTTTTCACAAAACTTAATGAGTTAAGTATGTTTAAATTTGATCTGAATACCACTGACAGGTTGCATGTTTGATATATGCTCTATGTTGGGGTCCAAGTAGGCATATATTAGGAAAAACCAAACCTTCAAAATATGTATGTGTAATTCATAAGTAACTGGAAGAACTATATAGGATTGTTAAGTTGACGGCAAAACCCTAGTGCTTTTACAATTTAATTTTCAAAAATCGTTTTCTTTTAGTTTATTTTATTTTTCCGATTTATTTAAGTATTTCTATTAAATTCGTTTTTATTACTTTAAATCACAAAATCAACCTTTTTCTAAACTTTGTTTTAAATAATTAATTAAGATTTGGTTTGACATAAATTATTCATTCAACCCCCTGTGAAGAACAACCTTGTTAGAGCTGTACTACGATTACCTTGTGCTCGTGTAAGTATTTTAAGTGTTTTTATCCCTACTTTTGCAGGTGGTAAAAATTCTATCAATGGCAATTAACATACTTAGTTACTTCGTCTCTATATTTTGTGTTTTAGAGGCCAATGATGCATTCAGATTTAAGTGCACTGTATCTATAGATGCTAATATATATGCTTGAATCACTATGCCTTCCTGTGTTTCCTCTATTTGGTTTCAGGGGTTTTGAGATTGTTTTCAAATTCACCTCCATATTATTACAGTCTAAAAATTTAGTTGTTTTTCGTTGCTAACCAAACGTTCAGTGGATAGATATGAGTCGAGAGATTTCGAAGCTGGAGGATATATGGTAAGCCCCAATGATCATGTCCAAAGACATTGTTGTTTTCTTAATGATTTTTTTGTTTTTTTGTTTTCTTAATGATGTAGTTTGGTTTGCAAATCATTAGTTACACATATAATATTTTTGGGAAAAGAAAAAGGGTTGAGAAAGAAGTTGGGATAAGCACCATTTTTCAGTGCTCTCTATATACATTAGCCTTATTACATATGTGTTTGATCACACGAAACTAGTGCCCTACCCGAATGGAAACAAGACGAGGAACGTGGCTGAGCACATATCTCTCTTCTTGGGAATGCTGAAGCCGATTCACTTGAGACTGGTTGGCAAGTGTTTGTTAACTTCAGGTTATTTTTGCTTGAACAGAAAGGGGGCTTCTACTTTGTTCTTCACGGTATTGTATCTTCAAATTTATCTCAATAAGTGTATGATTGAGGAGTTGATTTTTTTCATGTTCTCGGAGCGTGTTATTCCTTTTAATTTTTCTGAACCATTTTTCATGTTGCATTGATTAGATGCGAAAGAAAGGAAAAATGTTTTCACGGGATGATACCTTATTCAGTTTTTGATCGCTTTATTCCTCTTAAAGCTTTTATTAATGCTTCCAACGGAAGTCTCATGGATGATACCTGTGTTTGGAGTGGACGTCTTTGTTTGTAAAGAAAGAAGAACAGGAAATGGAGAGTGTCATGTTTGGAAGGTTGAGAACTTCTCAAGGTCAGATGCTGAGAGCTACTACTCAAGAAGTATTCAGTGCTGAAGGCTTGAAGTGGTGTTCCAATGATAAAAGATTTCACTCTCGATAATTCAATTACTATATCTTATCAAAATAGAGCTAAATCACCTTTTTTAAATTTTTTCTTCAATGTGTTGATAATGGAGCTTAATCTCAAAAGGATATACTTTTTGAACTACACGATTTTTACATTATTTTTAAAAGTGTTGGTAAATATCTTGTTAAATTTTTTTCTCCAATGTGTATAGAACCGTTGTTTTAAATTAAACTAGGATGTTCGTGTAATCTTGAAATGTACACTTATTCTTCATGTGATGGCTGTTGCAGGAAGCTACTGCTCTATCCCTACTGCTCTATCCTAAGGGAAATCAGAAAGGAAAGGATACTCATATTTCTCTCTACTTGGAATTGGATGATCTGAAAGAACCTGTTAAAAGCCTCTCTCTTCTCCTACAAAAGTGGCTTAAGCCTTCATTCACAGAAATCTGTTAAAGCAATTAGAAGGTGAGTGTTATTTAGGTCCACTAAATAATTAGGCTCATTAAATCTTCTACATAGGTTGATTGACTCTTCTACACTAGGTTCATTGACTTTTCTACATTAGGTTCATTGTTTGAAAGAGTAAATGATGTGTATTTGTAATTAATCCATGCATTTGTATTCACTTTATATTGTACATTTTAGGATGAATTGAAGTTGAGTTGATTTGAGGATGATTTAAAGTTGAGTTAAGTCAAATTTTACGTATTTCGAATGTTTGGGAATTTAATTTAATTTTTATTAATTTTAGAGTTACAAAGTTTGGTTTTTCGTAATTAGTTATTAAAAATCCATAGACCTTTTAGGGTCACTTTAGTATTTTTGAATAGAGCTCGATGCCACGAACGCATAGGCGAAAATCATGCTCGAATCAGAGTTCTTGAAATGTTATTCGTAATTAATTGTGAGTTGTCCAGAAGTTGTCTAAAACTCTATGTTTTCCTAGTAGATGATGCCATAAGAATTTTTGGAAGTCATTGCAAATACAAATTTTTTGAGATTAACAAAACGATGAATTATAATTGGCTTAATCTCTTCACACAGTAAGTAAGTAGGCAATCTAACCCTTATGTTAGGTGCAGCCGCGAAACAAAATGAAAGGTTCTTAGGCGGTTGAACTATTGGTTTGTTTTTACTTATGTCTCGGGATTGGAGCATGACAACTTTCATTGTATCAAACATTAGTATTAAGTTCTCGTACCTTTTACGTTAGAATGACTATGTCCATGAGTGAAAGAAAAAAGAAGAAAAGCAAAAAGAAAAAGTTGACAGCAAAGCAAAAAGATAAAGTTAAAGCAAAAAGCAAAAAGTTGAAGTTGGCTTCCAATATTTCTCAATGGACCTCCAAACCAGTGCCTAAATCTATAATCGCAACAGGAGTAACTGAGAACATTTTCGTATTCTTCCAGATTATAATTGGTTCAGTGCCTCGGATTCAAGTTATGTTGCTAATTCAAAGTTTCAAAATTTCGTTTTAATGGGCATGAATATTGCCTCATTGTCTTGGGAAGAAAGCTTTGAGTGCTTTGTGTGGGAATTTGAAGAAAGACCTTTGTATGGTTTGAAAATTGAAGTGTACGTGTCTTCCTTTATACAATGGATGAAGCTATTGAGTACAGTATAGAGAGACGAAATCCAAGGTATCCACAATGCATGAAGCTATTGAGTACTGTATAGAGAGATGAAAAGACATATCTCATCCAATATGCAGCATGCTCCTTGCATGGAGAGATTTTTCAATGTACCGGAGCATGAGATGGTACGTCATATGTCATTATACAATTGAAGAGATTTTTTTTTTTTTTTCAAGTGTATAATGACGTGTGGCATATCATCCTATGTTTGGGGCACACTAAAAAAAATCTCTTCATTGGATGCGTGTATTTCCTTCTCTAATGACATTATATATATAGGCAAGCTCCTCTTGAAGCAAAAGATAACTGTTTAGCCTTAACAGTTTGTTAAGCAATTTCAGTTTTATTGCCATGGCTTGTTATCCCCTTCAACAAAATGGTTAGATACTTTATCTGCTTTATATTACCGGTTTTCAGATTTCAGGATATTGTTGTATGCCATAGATGCCTGATATACACTTGCATCAACACTTTTCTGTTTCAGGGTTTTCGACATCATATTCAGATTCGGCTCCAACTCATTACTTTCTGAAAATCGGGTCATTTTCTTGGGTAACCAAAATTTCAGTGGACAAATATGAGTCGGGAGAATTTGAAGCTGGAGGATACAAATGGTAAATCCCTCATTATATCTTCTGCTGAAGTTTGAGTTTAATATCATCTGCAAACTTACGTTTCACACTCGCTGTCTGACATTAGTTCTATGACATTTTTCCTTTTTTGTAACACAATAATTTGTTTCGTATATCATGTGCTGTGTAAGCTGGTAAAAAAATGTTAGCCATTCTGTATGTTTGCTCTCAGGAAACTAGTGCTCTACCCGAATGGAAACAAGAAGAAAAATGTGGAAGGCCACATCTCTGTTTACTTGGAAATGGTTGGAGCTGATTCACTTCAGACTGGATTCGAAGTATATGTTAATTTCAGGTTCTTTTTACTTGATCAGAATAAGGGAATGTTCCTGGTTCTTCAAGGTACATTATACCCACTTCATAGACCTGAAATTTTTCTTGTTTGCAAATTGTAATGGTCACTGCTCATTTTCTGATCTTTATTTTGAACCTTGCATATTCCATAGATGCCAATAAAAAGGAAAAGTGTTTCCATAGGGTGATGCGTTACTCGGGATTTGATAGGCTTATCAGTCTTAAATCGTTTACTGATGCTTCCAATGGATATGTCATTGATGATTCCTGTGTGATTGGAGCTGAGGTCTTTGTTTGTAAAGAAAGAAGGGCTCGCAAAGGAGAGTTAGTATCGATGGTCGACGTTGCTGTTATGTGCAAGCATGTTTGGAAGGTTGAGAACTTTTCAAATTTAGGTGCTGACCCCTACAAATCAGAACCATTCACTGCCAGAGAACGGAATTGGTATCTCTGCCAGGCCCTTTATATTAATACCCTTGATAAGAGAATGTTAAATTTGTTATCCACTGTATAATCTCTTAACACTCATCCTGTTTTACCTGCATGATAATCATCTTTATTAGCTAAAGTTAATTTCCCCCAACATAGCAAAATGATATGATTTTTGAGTTTCAAACCATATATGCAATTTTAACTAAATTTTCGCACTAGATGTGGCCGATCACCGTAAAACTTGTTGAAATTTTGCTTCCAATGAGAGATGTAATGAAAAGCCATCATATTCTTCCCAATGTTGCAGGAAGATAGTGCTCTATCCTAAGGGACATAAGAAAGGAAAGGGTACTCATATTTCTCTTTTCTTGGAATTGGATGATCCGGAAAAACTTTCTGGTTCCAAAGTATTTGCAGAGTTTTCCATGCGCATTGTAGATCAAATGCATGCCAAACATGAGTGCTTAAAAGGTAAAGATTGTCCTATTTCAGTGTTTAATTGTATGCATCCTTCATAACATGAGGGTGTATTACGTGTAGCTAACAACTGGTTCAGTACCTCAACTCGGGATTTCGGTTGGCCTACGTTCCTTAAACTGGACACCTTCAGTCAGGCAGGTAATGGGTTTTTGGTGAAGGATGCTTGCACAGTGGAGGCCGATGTCACTATCCGTGGAACTGCAACAGCACTGTAGTCGGCATGTCGTATGTTTTAACTGTTCCTAAAAAGATGTTACGAATAAAAGGACTAAGGGCCTTGTCTGTCCTTGATATTGTAAAAGCACCGTCTAGATGTGGGTATACCATAGTGCTAAAATCCTTGTTCACCAAATGACTTGTGATTGAAGGGTATTTTGATGTTTTTAATTAATTTTAGCTGAAGTTTGTGATTTTTGCAAATTGAAAGGCCTTTTCTTTTATAATCTGTAATGCGTTAAACATATCGAGCCATTAACATGCACATTTTTTAATATGTTGCCTCATCATGTTATGTCATTTAAGACTAACAAATAGACATTCAGCGGTGAAGTGACATGTGTTCAGTCGAGATGGTGCATTATTTCAGAATGATGCTAGCCAAATGCCCTGCTTAGCCTTGGTTATCCAACCCTGTCTCTTCGAGCGGCGTTCCGACCACCTTTACGTCCCATCCTAGGTCTTTGCCACTAACTGTGATCCGTGATGTGACCTGATTGACTTTTGGGTAGGCTTGTTCGTAGAGACTTGTGCCATATAGTTGTTAGCCTGCCCACATGCCCCTGGCAGTCGAAGCTCTTTACATATCCTAGTTGAGCTGAACTTATAAGCGGTCGACTTTAGTGCTTGGGAGTATCTTCTCCTAAGCCCATTGGACCTTGGGCTTCTAAATCTCCCTTGGGTTTTCTATGGCTTCTTTACCAGCCTACACCATTATATGGGCCCAAAAGTGCCCAACATTAAGAGGGGTCTCTGCAATTGCTGATGGACGGGGTTGGTCGGCGGAAAGGCAAGGAATTCTGCAACCTATGAGCAAGTCGGGTTCGAGACCTCAAGAGATTTTCTTCATCTAGCTTTCAGTTTTCGAGCATGATGTCTTTTAGACTGCAGCAGTTGGAGATGGAGTTAGCGAGCCAGTGAGAAGAAGTGCACCTGAGAGAAGAAGCTTGAGAAGAAGCAGCGCGCCATTGAGATGAGGAGCTTCGACATTACATTGCTAGTATAGCGCATGCAATGACAACTTTGGCACTCGCATCCCCGATCCTCCGACGATCTTCAGCTGCCATCCTACCAGCCACCCCACTAGTAGTAATTTAGGACATTTTACATACATTTGTATGAATATTCAGTTTAATATAATTAAATATTTTTTTTTATATTTGTAGATTAATATAATTAATTAGTTAAATTACGAATTTGTTTAAAAGAAATTAAAACTTTTGCCTGACGAATACATTCGTCGAGCATGTATTTTTTTTATTTAAATTAATTGGCTGACGACCAGTTCGTTGTGCCAAATATTTTGAATTTTTTTCATTTTCGGCAACCAACGAAATGATGTCGCCGGGCGTGTTATTTTTTCAACCCAAGTTGGTCAATGCACTTTACATAACGAAATTAAATTTTTGTTGAGCGACGAGTTCTATGCGATGAACTTGGCTCGACGAATGTCCGTTGGGTAAAATCTTGGATGACGAAATAGTGTTTGACCTGACGAAATCCTTTTGTCTGAAAAGGGTTTTGTTTGTAGTGTTTAGGGGTGTACAATAGGAGAAAAACTTTTGTAGAGCTTGGCTTGCCACTTGATTTCGTTGAGTGACACTACAATCCATTTAAAACTCACTGCTTGGCAAGTCTTAAATATAATCTTTTATCATTTTTTATATTTAAAATTCTCATAATAATTTTTTCTACTAATTAATATATACCATGGATCAATCTAATGTTTCCTAATTTTTTTTATTTCCCCTTTTTTTTCCCCACATTTCCCTCCACTTTATGTTTTGCAGTGGGTCTTCACTCTGAGTTTTTATCAATAATAACCAAATTTGGCTCTTAAGTTAAAAAATTTCAGTTTTTATAAAAACTGTCAAATATAACAAAATGTTCACTTAAATAGACACAAACACCCGTATAATTTAACCTAATTACAACCTAAACCAAAACCCTTTTGATGTTCTGCCTTCAGACATGGAGTGGAAAACTGCAGACCCACATACCAACTGCACAGCAAACTTTCAAATTCAAAAGTCATTTTCGCGATTTACAAAATTACCATGGATACAATTTTATCAAGCGATGTTTTGTCCACATTTCTTGAATTGTCTTCCACTTCTCTCTCTCTCTCTCTCTCAAAATTCCTACTTTTTTTTTTTCCATTTGTAATTTTTTGATGGAAAATATACTCTAATCAAAATCATTGATTATCCTCTTATAAGTCTGTATCTCAACATTTTCTTTGCAAAAAAAATCATTGATTCTCCTTTTATAAACTCAATTTTGAGCAAGCACCCTTGAAGAACTTTTCATCTGATAAACAAATTCATATCGCTTTCCAAAAGATTATGGTTTTTCCTGAATGAAGTTGTCCCTTGTATAGTAGATAGAACAATGCCTTTGCATTCAATGACACAAGGACAGCAGGTTCTGCATTAGAACTTGTGAATTTCTCTTTTAGCATCTGAGGGTGTTTGGGTAAATTTATATATGTGTTTTGCCATATTTGAAGGTTTTTATAAAATCAGACATGTATGAAATTAAGAGTCAAATTTTGGCTATTAATGATAAATACTCCTTCACACTCTCTCTCTCTCCCAATTTCGTATTTCGTATTCCTCTGTTTCAAAAAAATTCGCAGAGAAAATGAACATGGTTCTTTGCAGAAAATGGAACGAGCTTGAAAGGATTAGCAAAGCCATCTGCCAAAAAAAAAAAAAAAATGGAAATCAGAATTAGCAAACCCTGTGTAGAATTACATCTGGAATTTATAATCGAATGGCTAAGTCTATTTAGAATTTGCATGTTTTCACACCACCATCCCACAGACCTAAAAACAAGGTTCTCGCTTCTGAAGCTGCTAAAACTTTTATCTCATACAAAAGGCTGAACAATAATAATATTAGGATAAGTGCAAAAAATAATTTTGGGGTCTATTCATCTTTTTATGTATTTATTTTTCAAATTTGTATAGGGCTCAAATAGTCATTCAGACAAGAGTATACAAGTTATTTAAATAATTTTTTCTATGGCATGTATTCAACAATATCTTGAGTGTTAATAAAACAACAAAAAATGGGCACTTTAGATTGATCCATGGTATATATTAATTAGTAAGAAAAAATAATTATAAGAATTTTAAATATAAAAGAATGATAAAAAATCATATTTAAGACTTTTCACGTGGTGAGTTTTGAGTAAATTGTAATGTCACTCAACAAAGTTTATCATTAAACTTCACTTAGAAATTTGATGGAGTGGTTGATAAGACTTGTCACGTGGCAAACAAATTCCACACAAGTTTGTCTTCGTAAAATAGGGAAGCGGAGAGATTGTAAAATTAGTATACCGGAGATCAATATTTCCTGAGCAATCAATTAACGGAGAGATTGTTTTCGTAAAATTAATATACCGGAGACTTGTCACGTGGATGTGCTCCTTCTCTGTCTCAATCAATTAAGGAGCTAATATTTCCTGAGCAAAAACTAAGCAGCTTTTTATTTTTCAACTGCAAAACAAATCCAACACCGTTGTTTCTAACCTCTTCACATCATGGGTAGCCGTGGCTTTGACCAAGTTGCAGGTAAGATGCGTTGTGTTCAAAACTTGTACTGCTCTATTAGAATATTAGGGTGCGTTTGTTGTATTCGATTATCTCATACTGAATTAACTTTAGAAACTAAGTTGGATTGGTATAAACTAGATTAGACTGAACTAAAACTATGTTAGACTATGAAACTGGACTAACAATAAATTATTATTATAATTATTATATTTTAATTTTTTTCTATTAAAAATATCAACATTAATATATGGAAAAAAATGGCATCTTCTTCGCCTTTGTACCTTGGAAATTACAGAACTTTCAATAACAAATGCTTAACCCAAATTCCAGAGAAATAAGAAATCGTTCAATTTGGTATCCCAGAAATCAGAAATCGTACAAATGCTTAACCTAAAATTTGATCAACCACTCCATTAACATAATCCAGAAATTATTCAATTTGATTAGAACTAATTGGCATCCCAGAAAACTCACAAAACCTGTCTCCCTTCACAGAGAAGAAGAACGCAAAGCACCCAACCCATAACCCAATCAACTTCTGCAAACCCTCCAAAGTTATAAACCTTTGTAAGGAAAATCAAATCCCAAAAAAATCAAATCTTTCAAGCTCACTTGTGTATGCAGGACCAAAGTTTTGATTTGAAAACCTTAAATCGCCGAAGTTTTCTCGAAACGAAGCTCTAGGGTTCTCCGATTGAAGGTCGAATCTGAGGTCTCATTTGAGATTATGGGTTCAGGGCGAGGAGATAGAGAAAGATTGGTGGTGGTTTGGACCGGCGATGTGATCTTGCCGGAGTTTGGTGAGTGTATGACATGATGCGGAGAAGAAAGCAGAGAAGGACACATGCGAAGAAGATGAATGCAGCGAGAGTCTTAGCAGTCCTATTGTAAACCGGGGGCCTCGCTAAGACCCTTTAGCGAGAGAGTTAGTGAACGCGGGTCCCCTTCAATCCCATTAAACTTAGTCTCGCTACGTAACAAATACAGAATTACACTGATAAGTAGTCCAATTTAGTTCAGTAAAAATTAGTGAAGCCAAACAAACACACCCTTAGGGACTAAAGCTGCATAAGTTGCCTTTTTTTGTTTTTTACCCTACAAATTCCAACAATTGAGTATTTGAAGGCCGAATTACTGGACAATGAGCGAAAGACAAAAGGAGAAATGCAAAAAGAAAATGTTAAAGCAAAAAATAAAAATGTTGAAGTTGACTTCCAATTCTCCCCTCAAGCTGGATCAAGGAGATTGACTGATTGAAAGCTTGGACAGAAGTTAAATTAATTCGTGGGTAGGGTCTTGGTGAGAACATCCGCAAGCTGATCATGGTTGCGAGGATAATGAGTTTGAATCGTCTGGGATTGAACTTTCTCGAATGTAATGGCAATTGACTTCGATATGTTTAGAGCATCTCCAAGGGGATGTTAAATTCAAAACATCACATTTAAATTTGATGACTTATGTGGCAATTTGACATCTTCATTTATTTTAATATCCAACCGATATGTTTCTTTGTTATTAATTTAGTCTTGATATACTAAAAATTGGGTGAAAAGAAGTTAAAATTCACTCTAATAATAAGAAAAAATAATAGAAATTTTCTTTGGGCCCTAGCATAAAACCAAGGAAATGGAAGAAATTGACACCTACTCTCTTTTGCTGCCAATT